AAAAACACTGAATTATATACTTTAGGTCTATTGCATGGCATGGGCATTATATCTCAATCAGCCTGTTCCTGGAAAAAAAAGGAATGTGAAAGAACTGAGAGAATAGATTGGTGACACACTGCCTCCACAGCAGCATGGCCAATGGAAGTGTATCGTGAGGTACATATGCAATTTAAAATTTTCTAGACATCACACTTAAAAAGGGAAGCAAAAACAGGTAAAATTAATTTTAATTATATTATATTTAACCCAGTCTGTCCAAAATATTATGCTTTCAACAAGTAATCAGTATAAAAAATATTCACGGACATTTTACATTTTTTTGTACAAAGTCTTTGAAATCCCTTGTGCATTACACACTCAATACAGATACTTACTTGTCATTACAAATCCTTGATCTGCATTTATTTGTCATAAAATTTATCACTGAAAAATTTGCATACCCAGATTGTTCCAAATAGAAACATTTTCCTATCAATTTATGGCGACCAGCTTCTCCTGGTTTGCCCAGCACATCCTACCAAGCAACCTCTGGGTTGGTTAGTCACCCTACTTGAGTGTCATTTTTGTAAATCTAAACTTTAATTAATTTAATTTAAATAAAATTAGACATCTGTTTCCTCAGCCCCACTGGCCGTATTTTTATAACCACATGGACAGCAGAACTCAAAAGAGAACAGTATTTACAGTCACAGTAAAAGAAATGTCTGTTATTGATCTAATGAAACTTCCTAAGAAGAGGAGATGGAGAGACAGGCTTTGGTGCGACGGAGCTAAATCCTCCATCATTGCTGGGACTGGATCACGTCCACCGTTGCTAGTCCACGGAGGGTACCAGTTCTCTCACGGTGATGGACTTACCAGCGGCACCGGTGTCATCTGGAGGCTGCTGTAAATGCAGATTCTCCGGCCCCGCCCCAGGCCCGGGGAGGCAGGGCTGGAGCCCTACAAACCCCTCGAGCGATTCTGATGCGCCCTCAAGTTTGAGAACCCCTGAAAGCTAGGGATGGGAGGGGGGACATTTCTGAGGTGGTGGAAATTTGCTACAAGTGGATTGTGTTGATGGTTAGCCTATTGGACCAATTTACCAAAAACCGAGCAACAGGGCGCCTAAAATGGGTGACCTTCACCTTATGTAAATTGTACTGCAATGAAACTGTAATAAAATTTTGCCTAGAGAGGGCGCCAGAGACCACAAATTCCATTCGGAAGCAGCCCGGGAATTCGATCTAACCTCTGGGCCACGTTCCCTTACTCCCACTTCACAGGGGGATGAACTGGACCCTCCAGAGGCGTTGTGCAGCCTCTCCTGTCCCGGGGGTCTCCCTACGATCAAACCACTGCCTTCATTTGGATGACATCGTTGGAATGAGCTGCTGACCCCAGGGTAAGGGGCTGGGAATTAACGGCCTTGGCCATCCAAAGACAACCGTCAGTGGCACCATCCTGCCCAGCCCGTCTGACAGGGAAGAGCGTCAGAAGCATGCAGGGCCACCTGAGGACACCGGCGAAGCCACTTTGGATCCACAACATAGAGACACAGGCATCCGAGGATAATAAACACAAAAACACACACACAGATGCACGCATGTCTCACCCACTCGGCCATCTTTCCAGCAATGCATGAACACAAAAAGCAAGCAGAATTAAATAAAACAAAATATCATGGGCTGGTGAGTGTGACAAAGAAAGCAAGAGAGAGGGTGATACAGCCTCGCTGAAAGATTAATTGAGCTCTGGATGGAGAAAGGAGGGAAAGAAGGTCTGAAACATAATTGAACCAGTGGGCCAACCCCAGATTCGAACCTGTGTGGGATGATAAATGCTTATTGTTTCAAGCTGCTAAGTTTGGGGACCATTTGTTATGCAGCAGTAGCTAACTAATACATCTGGAAGCACAAACTGGGTCCAGGAAAATTAAAATATACTTCTGGAATGGATGTACCTGCCTCCAAGCTTGGGTCCATGGGCGACCCGACCTAATGCCACCTGCACAATAGATGGAACCCAATTTAGATCTGGGCAGTACGGTGTCAGGCTTATGAGGGTACATCTAGGAGCAACATGACCTAGGCTGAAATCCTAGCTAGCTACTTTGTAGCTGTGTGACTCCAGACAGGTCAGTTACCCTCTCTGAGCCCTTGTCTTCTCCTCTGTAAATTGAATGTCAGGATTCATGGAGGATTGAGTAGGTTGCTGTTATTATTTATTTCTCTTTCTAGCCTTGTAATGAGTAGAATTGTGTCCTTCAAAAAGATTTGCTCAAGTCTGAACTACCACCCCAAACCTGGGAGTGTGACCTTGTTTGGAAAGAGGGTCATTGCAGATATCATTAGCTAAATGAGGTCATACTGGAGAGCGGAGGCCCTACATCCAGTGACAGGTGTCCTTATAAGAAGAGGGAGATTTGGGCACAAACACATGAAGGAGGTCACAGGAAGATGGGCGTAGTGATTAATGTATCTACAAGCCGAGGGCCAGGGGTGGCCAGCCACACCAGAGGCTGGGAAGAGACAGGAATGGCCCTCCTGGAGCCTTCAGAGGGAACACTGCCTCGTGACAACTAGATTTTGGGCCTCTGGCTCCAGAATGTGATAGAATGAATTTCTGTTTGTGGCCATTTGTTGTAACAGTTCCGGAAATGAATACAACCCACTTGCCACCAGGTGGCAGAAGGCAAATCTCAATCAATTCTGGATAATTCGATTAACTTTTCCTGGGGCCAGGTCTAAGTTCAAAAGGGTTCATGTGTCATCTGAGGAGGGGGGCCGCTGGCAGGCGTCCCACCCTTGAGCATGGTCCAGCCCAGCAGGCATCTTTGGCGGGTCCTTGTCCTCCTGCTTCTCGGTCGTTCATCCATTGCTGGACACCAGGGCCCTTCTATCTGCAGGCTTTCTGAGACACGGCTATGGCCACTTCCCACTGGGGAGTCCTTCCTGGGGTTTGGGGAGAAAATGGGGGAGGTTTGAAACCTGTCACCGCCTCCCTGTGGTCACCTCCCTGTGGTCACCTCCCTGCGGTCACTGCACCGCCTCCTCCACTCCCTGGGCTTTCTCAACCTCTCGGCAAGGTCCACACCCCCCAGGAACCTGGGGCCTCCCAGGGAGCCGGGCTCAGGTCTCCAGGGCAAGCCCAGGGAATGCCAAAGCTTTTGAATTGCAAACCCTTTTTCTCTCAAACTTTCCCACAGACCTTGGGTTTTCCAAGTAAACAACCACAGCTCAGAAACCAAGAAGGAAATCTTTGCTCCCTCTTCTCTGTGCTGTGCCACACATCCCCTTCCTGTGAACTCAAGGAAGGCTGCTGCCCTGCTGGCCGGGCTGGGGCAGGCAGGGGACAGTGAGGGCAAGAGCCAGGCGAGGGCAGCTGACAAGGGCAGATCGAACCGCTGCTATAAAGTGCTTCTGATTTCTACATGGATGTAGGCATGTTTCCTTTTTAAGACCTCAGATCCAGTGGAACTTTCTGCCGTTATGGGAATGAATGTTCTAGGTCTGCGCTGTCCAGCCACGCGAGGCTCCTGAGCTATTGACATGTGGCCAGTGTGCCTGAGGAACTGAGGTTTTAATTTTATTTCAGTTGAATTCATTTTAATTTAAATAGGCACTGGTACCCGGTGGGTAACACATGAGACAAGACAGCCTTGGATAAACTGGTGTGCCCAGCAACCACGGAGAGCAGAGCCAAGCACACAGGGAGGCAATTAGCGGGCTGACCCATAAATAAAATACACTTCAATTAAGAGCCAGTTGAGGGATCATGGGTGAAAACCTTTTCTGCGGCTTATGCATGGCAGCCCTCACTTACTCCTCCATACGCCAGCCACAAAACCCGAGTTGTGTTTACATCATAATCTCTGGGGACTAAGCGTCCCCCAAATCAGAACTTTCAGTTTCCTCAGCGACAGAGCACAGAACAGGGACAGATGGGCGAGTCCCCTGGCTTCTTCAGCTCTCAAGCCAGTGTACCCACCTACCCAGGTGGGAGAATGTCTGTGAATTCTGTTGGCATCCTGTGAGTTTTCAGCATAGCAGGATTTACAGCCACCAAAATTACAAGATTAGCTCCAGTGCAAACCACATTTGGAGACAAATTAAGTAAGAAAGAAAGAATGGGGTGGGGTTATGTTGGGGTGCATTTTCAAAAGGGACAGTCTGGGGACACCTTGCTGAGGTGGTGACCTCCCAGCAGGTTGCTGAAGGAGGGAATGAACCAGTAGCTGTCAAGGGAGAAGAAGATACCTGGCAGAGCAAGGAATGGCCAGTGCAAAGGTCCTGGGGTAGGAAGAAACTCCGCCTTTCACTATAAAACTCTTCCACTGACCACTTACTATCTGGAGTAGACATTTCAAAGGCAGCCAAACAGAATTCCTGAATCTCTTATGACCATTCTAACCCTGTCTCCTCATTATCTCTGAAGTCATCCCAGGCCTAGAACACATATCACCCCTTCCCACCCTGGCCTTGAACTTGGAAACATTGTACCATTTCCTGCTTTAGGTTCTCAGCTCCTTGGTCCCTGGGCTTGGCAGTTGAGAAAATTCACTAATAAAATGCATAGTATGAGGCTTGGCTCATAGGAAGTAAGTGCTGGATAAAAAGGGGTCTGCTAAATTTTCCCCAGGAAGGGGGTTCAATGCTTCGTTTGCATTGCGTGTTACAAAGTATTGAAAAAATGTTATTAGCCCAAATAAAAGGATTGGGGTGAGAGTGCTAAAGACACACCCCCTTCCCAACCCTTCCCCCAGCCATAAACACTCCTGGGCTTTGCTAAAAATGATCAGCCTGCTCACCGACTCCGCCCAACCCTTCCACAAGTTTGCACTCTCTGACCCCAAGCCCCTTGCCCTTCTTAATATCCTGTCACCTGCCTGAACCTCAAAAGGCCTGCGGCTCTGCACGATGCCCTTCCCTGCAGCAGCACCGCAAGGGTTAAACGGCTGCGCCACGCGCGCGGATTGACAGCCCGGCCGGCCGCCGGGGAGAGTCGACCAATCAGCGATGGCGGTCGTCGCCCACGTGGGTACGCGGCCTCGCGATTGGCCAGAGCCTCCGGCGGCCGCCCGCGAAGCCCAAACCCACGTGCAGCCTCTGCTCTTTCATTGATCAGCTTCGCGGGGCAGGTGGCTGCGGGGCGGGGCCCGGCGGGTCAAACGGACCCGGGATTGGCAGAGGGGGAGGCGATTCCTTTGGCCCGAACTTGGCTGACCCCTGCCGCTTCCTCCTTGATTGTCCTGGGCCTCCCTCCTGAGGGAAGTGGGTAGGCAGCTGGATCTTCCGGAAGTCCCCAGGGCTCGGGGGCTGGGGAGGAAGGTGGAGGGGCGTTGAGCAGCAGAAGAGAATTAAGATGGGGCTTGGTGCCGCCTGAGTCATTAAGTGGAGAGAGGTCTCTTTCCTCCTGTCTGAAAAATTCCTCCTAATGTACCTGCCCAACTCTTACTCATCCTTCAAAACCCTTTTGCAATGATTTTTCTCCCGTGCTTTAGGAAATTGTCTTAAAACTAAGGTTGAGCTTTGGCATCCTTCTTTGGGGTCCCCCAACCTTGACAAGTCGTGGTACACAGTGTATGTGTCCAGCGCCATCTCCCCACCTCATGGGGTGAGATCCCTGGGGTCCCCACAGTTAATCAGTGAAGCTGGAGGCACCAGAGGGTGCTTGATGAGTGAACACAGGAATGCAGTGAAGTGCTGGAAGTCAGGGGGTGGGGATGGGGGTCAAGGGGGTCCTGAAGGGAAGGCCCACGTGCCTGGGGGTGGAGGTGGGGTCTGACCGTGGCCCTGCCACTGCCCAGCTTCCTGCCCTCAGGACCTGCCACCTCCTCATTACTTTCAGAGTCCCTGGCCCCAGTCTTTGGGATTGCTGCCCAAAGGTGACCTCTTGGGGCTCTCTCAGCCCCCAGGGGCACCTCAAAGGATGAGAGGCCCCAGGAACTTTGGTGAAGAGGGTGTGGAGTGTCATGAACCCCTGGGGAGAGGGGAAGAGCCCAAGGACTGGGCTCAAACGTGATGGAGGGACACGGTGGGCTAGCCTTTTAGCTGGGGACACTAACTCATCCTACCTACTGGCAGGTGCCAAGCACTTCCTTTTTAAAATTAAACTTACTCTTTATCAACCAGGTGAAAAAACGTGTGACTACATCATCTATTTGGTTAATATTTTATAAGCAAAAGCCCCCCACCCCGCTCCAGAGATGACCATTTCTAGGTTTAGGCCAGAGGTGGGCCAACATTCCATAAAGGGCCAGAGAGTGAGTATTTTAGACTTCAGGCCAGGATGCAAAATGGAAGATACCCTGCAGGTACTTAAGTGCATAGAAAGAAAGCAAATTACTTTCAGGTCTGAGAAGGTCCCAGCCCGCCCTGCCCCACCTGGCTGATTGGGGATGGGACGCGAGGCAGGGATGTTGAGAGGCTGAGGGGTTGTTCCTAACGCCTTTCTAGGCTCCAACTGGGGCCAGTCTTCCAGGCCTGGGCATCTAGGAGCCGCAAGAATCAGCTCCCTAAGTGAGGGAGCCCTGGGGGAAGGAGGTCCCACTGTGGCTCCAGAAGACAGGACCAGCAAAGGGAGATGGGGAGCCATACAGAGCCTGAAGCAAAGGGGGAACCAGCCATGCCAATACTGGCTTCTGTTTAAATGTTAGATTTGTTGTTCAGTGTGAATTTGCTTGCATTCAGTTGTAGTTTTAAAAATACTGCATCAAAAGCGTATTCCTCTTGATCTGTGCCTGCAATGTGGCTTCTTGAAGGGACCTTCGGTCTGGCCCGGCCCTGGGGAGGAGGGGCTGGGCTCGTTCTGAGGCAGGTCCTTGAGGCCTCCTCTCCAAGGCAGCCTTTCTGCCCCCAGGTACCCCCCTCCCTCGATGGCACAGATGGACAGCCCTTTCGAAACCTCCAGGGAAGGCTGTTGTGTTTGACCTCAGGCACCAGGTTCGGGGATACCCCTGTCCTCCACTTATATGTTATTGGTCTGGCCCAGTGGGTCAGCACATGGAGGCCCAGTCTCTCCTCAGGGTTTCTCTTTATGAATCCTAACCTTGAGACAAAAACTAGAAATTCTGTGTTGAAAGGTGTTTCTTCAGCTGGCAGTGGGTCGTTTAGGGAGACAGCGGGTAACTGGAATCCTTGCCCTCTCGTGTATGTTCTACTGTGGTGCTGCTTTCTGGATTTTTCCACGATGATGGGAATGTCCTGTTATCAGTAGTGCCACTATGGCACGCATTAGCTACTGTGGCTCTTGAGTGCTTGGGAATAACTGAATTTTTAACTGGATTCAATTTAAATTGAAATAGCCATGCCTGGCTAGTGGCTACCTCATTGGACAGGGCAGCTATAGGGAGAGGAGCAACGAGAATAGACAAACAAGATTCACAAAGTGTAACACTATAAAGAAAAAGAACATGAAAATAAAGGTGTTGAGCTAAGGTAGTCAGGAAGGGCTTCTTGGAGGAAGTAATGTCATGGTGAGACAGAAAATAAGGTGCTCCCCTTACCCCTGAGAGGACATGAAAGGCCATTCCAGGCAGAGGAAAGACTGTGCAAAGGCCCTGGGGCAGCACCAGGCCTGGCCTGTGGGAGGAACCCTTAGGGGGCCCATGTGGTTGGAGCGGAGGGGAGGGGAGGGAGAAGGGAATGGAACAGGGTAGGTCATGCAGGGCCCTGTGGCTGTGGGGAGGAGGCTTTTGACCTTCACCATGAAAATGAAACCCAAGGGTCTCCCTAAATAGCTCCTACTCTGTGTGATAGGTGGAATCCATTTCATGGGCATAGTGACCAGAGAGGTGTAGTGACTTGCCCAGGGCCACACAGCACTCAATTCCAGGCGCCATCCGCAGCCCAGAGTAATCTCTGTTGTTCCTTCACAAGTCCAGATCTGGCAGGGTTTCCAGGGACATCATAAACAGGTAGGTGGGTGACCAGGAGCTCGGGGTATGGCTGCCCCTCCTCAAAAGGCAGGAGAAAGTGGGAGAGAGGTTGGAGAGGACGGGCCTTGGGGGCCGCAGGGAGGACTTGGCTCTGACCCAGAGAGAGGTGAGCACCCTGGAGGGCAGAGGAGGGGGACCTGGCCTGAAATTCCCCAGGACCTGAGTGGACCCCCTTATATCTCAGGAGAGCACCTCCCATCGCTCTCTGAGCCTCTTCCTTCCTGGCTGGCTCCCCGGTCCCTGTGGGGCTCAGTTGAGGCCAGGGGCCATTTCAGCACTTCCTGCAGTTCAGTTGCTTCAGCTCTGAAGGGTCAGTTCTGCGCCAGGCACACCAGGATTGGGGTGTCAGGAGTTCTCGGGGCCCGATCCCACATGAGGTGGGGGCAGGTCTGCGTGGGGGTGGGCGGGGGCTCCCTGCTCAGGGCGGCGTGCCCACACTGAGGCAAGCCTGCCTATCCTCTGCCACCTGGCCCCTTTCTCCTGGGTGCTGGCAGGACTCTCTGCCTGTACCAGATGTGACTGGCAGGGCGCCAGGGCCGTGTCTGCAACTTAGCAGGGCCCCCGGTGGGCAGCTCAGGGAACAGGGAGAGACAGATCCTGAGTGGGAGGGGGGCCAGGAAGCAACCAGAACACGGTTATTCATTCAACAGCTATTTATCCATCACCTGCCTGCCAAGTGCAGCTGAAGGCGCCAGGGAAATAGCAAAGAAGGAGACAGAGGAACCTCTGCCCTGGGGGTGAGGGGAGCTTGGCAAACAAAAGGATCACACGGTGAGGGCTGGGGGAGGGGTGGGTGAGAGCAGCCCACAGGCCCCAGCGGACCGGGGTGGGAGGGCCTGCAATTCAGAGTGGCCAGGGAAGACTCGCTGAGGAGACCTGTGAGCAGACTCTTCAAGGATATCAGGGAGGGGGTGCAGAGAGGGTGAGGAGCAATCTAGGCAGAGGGCGCAGCCTGTGCAAAGGCCCTGGGGCAGCACCAGGCCTGGCGTGTGAACAACGGGGAGGCTGTGTGGCTGGAGCAGAGGGAGCGAGGGGGAGATAGGGAGGAGGGGAGGGCAGGGAGGAGACGGGCAGGGCCCTGGGATGTGCGAGCCTGGAGGGCTGCGGGCAGGGGAGAGGGAGTTGACCCGGTGCTCACAGGCGCCCTCTACCGGCGGTGAGGAGAACAGACTGGGGGCAGGGCAGGGACCATCAGGTCTGGGATGCCGGTCAGTTAGAGCAGTTTGGTGGTGAAAGCGTCAGATTGCCGATTGGGGGCGGGGGTTTGCCGACCTGACAGCCCCTGCTGAGCAAGGAGCCCCAGGCTGGGCCATTGTGTTGCTGTTCAGCCCGCGACTACCCCCCACCAGGTGATTATCCCCAGCAGCTCTACCTGCCAGTGGACGGGGCAGACCCCCTGCCGTCCCCCTCTGTTTCCTGCTGGGGCTTCCCCGCCTCCTTGCCGTGCATTTAAAATCCTGAGCTGCAGTAGCAGCGGCCGCAGCGCCGGGCCCCCGCCGGCTGCCGGCGCACAGCTCTCCCCAGGGAGGGCCAGCGAGCAGGCAGGCGGGGGCAGCACTTTCCACGCGGAGTGCAGTAAAGTGCCAGTAAATTGCGCATTAACGAGCCGGCGAATTGCGGAAGGCTCCCCCGGGCCTGCGTGTGGGAAGGCCCAGCTGGGGGACCCAGTACTGGCTGCCCGGGGAGGCAGCAGCCTGGAGCAGGAGGGGTCAGAGTGGGGGGGTCCACGTCCTCACCGGTCCCTGGGCTCAGCAGGCGGGGGAGGGGCCGGGCTGCTCAGGGAAGCGCGTCAATACTGCCTGGCCCCGGTTCCTCCTGGCTGAGATTCTCTGTGTCTGTTTTCTCATCTGCAAAATGGGAACGCCAGGAGTGTCTGGCGGATAGAATTGGCCACAGTGGGCACCATCCTGCATTCCCTTATCAGTGATCTTTCTGCGTGAATCCACATTTTCCCAGGATTTTGGAAGTTGCCGTGGGCCAGATGACTCTGGGGAGCGTCTTAGTGTCCCCCACAGTGGGGGTGTGCAGGCGTAAGTCCCACGGGCACTGTGTCCAGAGCCATAGGCCAGAGACCAAATCCATGCTACCCTCCACGGTAGCCATGGGGCACAGGTGGCCATTTAAATTTAAGCTGACATTAAACAAGTGGTACCAGCCACATCTCAAGTGCCCAATAGCCACTAGCAGCTGCCACATTAGACAGGCAGGTCTAGAACATTCCCACTATCACTATATTTAGTCTGGCAACGGACTAAATGTAGCTGCACACACACACATTCCCACGGAGTTCCTTATGGTGCCAAGAAGGTGGGTCTCCCCACTAGGAGTTCTTGAGAACCCTGGCGGGAAGTCTCCAGTCTTGTCTGGTCTGTGGGAGCCACATGCCAGCCACATTCTAGGAACCACTGTACCTGGTCAGCCACAGCCCCCATGTGCCCGTTGAGCACTTGAAGTGTGGCCAAGTTTAATTGTACATTAAAGAGCCACACCTGCGGTTGGTAGCTGTGTGTGGGGCGGCCCAGTTCTGTGGAAAGAGAAGTTGAAAATGAATCTGGTCCTGTGTTGGGTAAGTGGTATGGGGCTAACGCAGTAGGGGATGTGGTCGAAAGTCCCATACCCTCCAAGGACAGAGGAGGCAGAGAGGAAGCCTGTTGGAAGACAGAACACTGGAAACTTAGATCCCTCAGTCCCTTCTGTGTCCTTCTGTAGGAACTGTTGACCTAAATCTGGAATCAGTAGTCAGGACATGGCTCCATTTTAAATATAAAATAACCTTATGTGGCTCTCCCACCAGGTCCCCAGTGCCCTGCTGACGGCCCTTCTCCCTAAGAGGTAACCATTGGTTCTTAATATCTTGCCAATATGGACACAAGTTCAAGCATCACCACCACACAGAGGGACACATGTAAATACCATGTCATTTTGAAGCCACTGAAAGCAAGGGCTAGTGTTCAGACTTCAGTTTTCCATCCCAGGAAAAGCAGGCTGGATGCTAACCGGGGCCGAGGCTACTTTCTACTGTATTGTAATGGGGACAGGCCTTAGGCCAGCTTCTATCGTCCGCTGCTGAGTTCTGGGCACCAAGGCCTTGCTTTCCGCCTGATGCAGTACGGAGAGCCCTACATTATCATGAATCCACCCAGAAACGTTCAGGGCACGTGGTATATCCCGGTTTTACACACGGGAAAGTGGCTGGCAGGAGGGGGTTCACACCCAGGGTTTCACACCCAGGGCCATCCGGTTATGGACGTTTATCTGGGATGGTGTTCCCACCTCCAGGCTGAAAACCTTCTACCATTTACGGAGACCTGCAGCCAACCTCTGGGCTTCCAGTGGGGGAGGTAGGTTTCTGGGCCCTTGAGGAGGGTAGGGACAGACTCAGGGTCAGGGCAAAGGGCATGTCTTCTTGTCCCTCAGAACCTCGTGTTTGCAGCACTGGGGGAGTCAGGTCTCGGCTGGTGACCAGATCGGCCTGGCCTCCTGGAGATCACCCAGCCTGGAGGCTTCTCAGCACCCCGGGGCCAAGACCCTGCAGCCCTCTGTTCTCTAGGGGCCATCAACCAAGCTGTCATAGCCGTAAGGTCACCCGACTGGCTCCAGCAGCCTTCTGGAGTGGACGAAGCCCCCGTCCACCAGCTGGACGTGCAGCTGTCCTGGGACCCCGAGCCCCAGGTTTTGGCAGGATGCTCTAACTGAGCAACTCTGGCAGCGTGTTGCTGGGACCCATGATACGGTGGGTTGGCCCGGACACAGGAGTGAGCCCCTGAGAGGGAGGGGAAATGGGTCCCTGCCGTCACCACAGCAACAGAACAGGTGCCAGGCCTGGGGAGTAACTTGATTCTTGGGTACCCGGAGGTGTGAGCTTCTGGGCTGGGTGGGCCCCTAGGCTGGGACGTTTGAGTCCCTGGGGGATCGGTCCACATCCTCTACCCTTAGTCCCTGGAGAATTCAGGGCTGGGCCCAGCTGAGACGGTTCGCAGCCCTGCCTGCATGGGAAGATGGGATTTGGGCCTGTTCATGAATTCCATCCATGCTGCCAGGGCCTCCTTGAGGTTTTCTGGTTCTAAGCCCGACCCTGGTTCCAAGCTGATCGCCGCAGTTCCTGTGGGCAGGAAATCCAGGACTCAGGGCCACACTACTCGGGACCTGAACATGCTTTGGGTGATCCCCATGGGCTGGGGGGCCACCTGCTACAGGGACCCACACCTGCCACTTATCCCCTCTTGTCTCTGCCCAGTTCTTGGGGCAGCTCTCCCGCATGGCCCAGGTGAGTCCCGGACTTGAGTGGCACCCCCCCAGGAAGGCTGCAGGGACTGGGGCAGAGGTTGCTGAGTGACTCAGCTGTGATCTGGTCCTCCTGCAGAGAATGCTGGGAGGGCCTCTCTGTTCCTGAGGTCCATGTACTTGTCTGCACTGCCCCTCCCATCTGTACCTCTGTCCCCAGCAGGGAGAGGCGACCAGAGGTGTAGGTGTGTCCCCCCTTCCCCTTCCCCATCACCACGGTGCTGTCCTCAATGACCAGAGCTGAGGAGACGGGTAGAGATGTGCCACTTGAGTTACCAGCATCACTGCCCCTCCCCACATAACCGGCCCTGGGTCCCAGGGATTTGGCAAAGGAACTCCATGGAAAGGAGCTGGAGGCAGACAGTCCCAACCTTGTGGTTTGAGGCTGGGGGAGCCCAGGTGGGAGCCAGAAGAATCCTAGAGGAAGGGGCATAATGGTTAGGACCTTGATGGATGAGTAGGAGTTTGCCGGGATGGGGCAAGGCATTCTAGGCAGGAGGGAGCTGTGTTAGAATACTTGGAAGGGTGTGAGTAGGTAGGACCTTGGGGAAAGTGTAGTAAGTGGGGAAAAGAGGCCTCAGAGAACCTCAATGTCTGAAAAAGAACAAAGCCCTTCTGGGGCTTAATGGGTGCCCCCCCTTCACTGGGAAGAGGGGCTCATAGGAAGGTTGGTGACCCCGAAGCCTCTCCTCCCTAGATGCTGGGACCCTGAGGATTTCAAGGACACGTGGAAAAAGCAGAATGCCTTGCCCTGGCAATCCCACAAAGTTGGCCGTCCCACACGGAATGGAGATGGAGGTGCTGTCACATGGGGACCCCGTGCTGGCACAGCTGTCAGCAGCACCCCAAGGCATGCGTTCACCTGCAGCTGGGGCACCATCAAGGTGTGGAGCCCAGTGTGCCAGGTGGTGGAGGACAGGTTTCCGGAGAGGTGCCTGCCCGTACAGGTGAGGGCGGGGCTTGTGGGCACAGGAGGAGCCCCTGCAGGGGAGGAAGCCTGTGAGTCTGCCCACCCTAGACCTGGGGGGAGTACCTTCACTCCAGCCTGCTGTCCTCAGACAGCAGGACCCCCCTGTCAGGCAGCCATGGCCTGGCTGGCGTGAGCGTGTGGGGCCTGGCAGTGCCTTCCCTGCATGTGAAAGATGAGCTCCTCTGCTAGGGTCTCAGCTGCCAAGCCCTGGCCTCCAGCCCTGAGGACCATCCGGCCTTTGCCTACTTCACCGACCGCACCTTCAGGATCCGGGACCTGCAGGACCGGAGCGTGGTCAGGTATGGCCTGGGTGGGTGGGTCATCCCCAGGGCCCATTGCCACCTCCCCAGAGTAGGAACCTAGCAGTCCCAAGACCAAAGCCCCCCACCTTCTTGAACTTGCACCTGAGAGAGTTCAAGTCCCAGGTCCAAATCTTGGCTGGGCTGTTTCCTCGAAGGCCAGTCATGGTGCTTTTTGCCTGCCTCGGTTTCCCTATTTGTCACCTGGGTGCAGTTGGGCGGGTGAAGTTCTTAGGGCCCAAAGCTCAGTATTGGCCCTGATCCCCTCCCAATGCCCATCCTGGTCAAGGACCTGCCAGGCCACCTGAATGGAGGCAGGGACATTGCTGTCAAAGACCATACCGTCTGGATGAAGGGTCTGGATACCTGCCTGCGGTGCTGGGACCTCAGGACCCCCAGGGAGCCCCAGGAACACCAGCTTGAGTCTCAGGTGTGCAGGTTAAGATGGGTTCCACTTGCCAGGGTAGGGGCTGGGCCTCGGGCTAGGAAGGAGGTGGAATTTGGGGGACGGTCAGGGATCATGGTAGGTCAAGCATCTGATGCTGGCCAGAATAGAAACGCTCCCCCCCACTGCCCACGTAACACTGGCACCCTCACGCTGTTTCAGGTGCTCAAAGCCCTGTGTAGTGTCTGCCGTAACCCTTTCAGGTAGAGCGGATACACCCATTTTGCAGAGAAGCAGGCTGAGGCCTGAGGCTCTGAAGTTGCTTGTTGGCCCACAGCCAGGAAGCGGGCAGATGGTCAGCTCCCCAGGCAGGTCCCTGGGCTCCTGCCTGCCTCCCTCCGGGGCCAGCCCAGGACCCAACTGGCTTCTTCCCAGCTGCTCGCCCCCAACCTAGTGAGCCTGTCTCCCAGTCTCCGGGAGGACTGGGTGCTGGTGGGCACAGCCAATGGCCGGCAGTGGCTGCAGGGTGGGGTGTTAAGCCCAACATCCCTGGTCTCCAGGCCTCGCCCCTTGGTGAGTGGCCTGCCCCACTGAGCTAATCTTCCCTCGAGGAGGGGTTTCCCAGCCACTTCTTGCACAGTGCCAGGCGTGGGGTTCTACCCGACACCCTGTCCATTGGATCAGCGCACTCTCCCTGGGCAGGGGGCGGGGGGTGAAGCTAACCCTTGGGGGTGTACCTGGCCATGTCTGGGGATGTCTGGGGTTGTCACAACTGGGCAAACTCCAGGTGTCAAATGGGTGGACACCAGATAGCTGCTCAGACCTGCTCAGTGTCAGTGCTTCTGCTCAAGTCCGATCTGGAAACTCCGTTGTCTGCTGGAGTTGGAAGGAACTTCCCTGCCCTCCTCACCAGGCCGACCTCCTCACCTCCTCACCTCCTCACCTTTGCACATGCTGTACCCTACATACCGAGCAGTCTCATGACCCTTCTGACGGCCGCTTCTCCCGTTAGCTCTCAGCTTAGCTGTCATTTCCTCTGGGACTGCTATGTTCCCTTGACACCTTCCCATGAGCAGGCTTCATGCACCAGGCTTTTAGGAATTACCTCCAGGTCTCAAAGGACACATGACTGCACCTCCTAAGAGCTATGTGCTCTGTTATAATCCTCATCCTCCTGTACGTCGGCAGTGTCTGGGGGTGAGCCTGTCCAGAGGGTTGGTGGTAAAAGAGAGAATGTCAACCTTCTGGGCCAGAGCATTTAATAGCTGCGTGTGACTGTCTTGGTTGCTGGGG